GTTGGAAAATTCTACAAGGCCCAAAAAAGGAAAGGCAAGAAGGGAGGCATGGGGAGGAGGAGGAGGAAAGGAAAAAGGGGATGGATGGGATATGAAGGGGGGATTGAGGGTAATTAGGTTTATTTCCTAGGAAAGAGGACCGACAGGGTCTAAATTAATAAGACCAAGCGCCTCTTACACCACGCCAAGGAGTCCCCCCTTGAAGAGGCCAAATCTTTAACAACCTTGCATTTATCTACAATGAACTGCATCTGCCACTGTTCTGTCCAGTTATGAGTTGTCCCTAAATCGCTCCTGAAAGTTTCCCTGATATCTACTTTGAATCAATTATCCTACCGAACTGAGTGTCATAGGCAAATTTGCATCAATACACTATTAATTCCCTCATCAAGAACATTGATAAACACATTAATAACAACAACGCGGGCCCAAAACTGATCCCGTGGATTCCACTTGTTACAGATCCCCACTAGGAATTTAACCCCATTCATGCCACACGTCTCTGCTTCCAGTCTCTGAGCCAGGACGCGATCCCATGAAGCACTTTTTTCCCCCAATGCCAATGAGCTGCCACTTGTCTTTAACAGATCTTTTTAGTGGGAGTCTTCTACCAAAGCCTTACTTAAAAATCTAAGAAAATACTAACATATTCTTTTATCATTGATCAACATCCACAAAAGCTTTACTGAAGAAGTCAATAAATTAACAAGAATGGCCTCTCATGAATCCATAATGCGTATGATTAAACATATTATGCTTACCAGTTTGGCTTCTGCTTACTAAACCACACTATAATTGACTCAAGTAATTTGGCTACAATTAACGTCAGGCTTATTGGGCTTAAATTTGAAGGCAATGACTTGTCCCCTGCTTTAATAAAAACCCAAGAACCCTATTTCAAGGTCGACAGGCCCTCTGCGGAGACTCTGTCTTCCAGGGTCCGGCCAAAATTAAACAAATAAAAGGAAATTACATTTTTTCTTGTGAAAAGATAGAGAATCTTTTCCTGATGCATAATGCACCAAAAGTATGAAATTTGATGGAAAACTTACGAAATTATGCAGCCCGTGCAAAGTTAGGCGGTCCTCGGCGATGTTTATGCATCAGCGAATTTTGCCCACTTTGGAGCCCTATTTTTGCCAATTCCAGTATACTTGTTGACAAAACTCATAACTATTACGCTAGTAACTCCATTTTTTTCTATCGAATAGAACAAGAAACACCCCATTTTACCATTTTCAAAACTATTCATACAGTGGTCAGAAATTTAGTACATTTTGCAATTTCAACACAAATTTCAAAAGATGCCAATATTCCGAATAGGTTCCAGAATAAACAAGCAAGACATTCCTGTAATTAAAATAACATTTCCTCTGTTCATTAGTCATGGCCTCCATGCCGCCTCGTACGGTGTATTGACGCCTAGGCAAGGATTTGTTTCACCTTTCGAACTCTGGTAAACAATTGAAATATTTCCTGCTACTTTGAGCTCAAATTTCAAGGTACTTTACTTTGTAAACCAGTCAAATCATCTCAATGTTACTGTAGCGGTATTCTTCCATTCTACAAAATGAGACCAGGAAAACTCAGAATACCACTAAAAAAACTATAAAATAAAATACAGGGGACCCCCACTTAACGATCACCTGCCCAATCGACAACTATGTAAGTTTATTTACGTAGTGTGTATGTACGTGATGTATTTGGGGTACTGAATGGACTAATCTACTTCACAATATTCCTATGGATAAATTCGGTACAGTACTGCACCTGGTGAAAAACCAACATCTGGTAAATGAAAAAATATCGTTAACCCGGGGTCCACAGTAATAGGTGCAAAGTCTCGCTGTTTTAAATCCAAAAACACAAGTTTATTGTTTTCATTACGCCCTTTGTGCTGCCGGACAGTTTTTTATACCACTCACACTGACCACCATAGACCATTCTTCATATGTAGGTCTACCCAAGCTTTCTCTCACAGATTTTCAGGCTCTAGAATCAGGTCATACTATACGTCCAAAAAACCCTGGCTCATAAGCCGTCCTAGTATGGCCGAAACACCCTGAAAAGGATAAAACGTTGGCAATACATTAGCTTATCTTCCACATATCAGACACTTCGACCTGTTTGAAGAGATAAATTAAAAATATTCGTTAATGGTTCATCACGGAGTTCCATTTGCATTCCACAGAACCCTTTGAAAAATATTATTATATAAAAAAGAGAAGCAACTAAGCCACAAGGTCTGTTACAGCACTGACAGGTAGGGAAGGGAACGAGGGTAATGGGCGAGTAGGGAAAGGAAAAACTGATCATAGGTACAGAAGACAGCGTGCAGGATAGGTGCGGGGGTAGAGGGCAGCAAGAGATTGAGGTAAGAAAGGGTATTTGAAAATTTTCTGAAAGTATCATCAGAGCTTGTGACGTAAGATTCAGATTGTTGCCAAAAGTCAATGAGAGAATCCGGATGAAAAGGAAGGATCCCATCAGTGAAGAAGGAATTAAGAGAGAGCATCGGAGTTGAAGACGAATACGGAGGTAAAGGTTCTGAGTGCTCGATGAATAAAGTGGGCGTCTAACAGAATGAGGCTAACCGATAATGGAACCTGACGATTCTCACATAGAGGAGCCAAGGCGCCTCTCCATGAGATAACCATGAGTAAGACTAGTATGGCAATGCGAAGATTGGGGGAGAGTCAGTCTCCCAACCTCGACACAGTGTGACGATGAAGAACGGCCATTAACCTATACTCGGTGTAATAGATGACGTTTGTTACCGAGCGAAGTAGACCCACGTGTTGTTGCTACCGGGGTGTGACGGTGGTTAGCTATGCAGCAAGAATAGTCCGTTGAAATGGAAACACCTCTTATATAAACTGGTATTCCCCTGTACTGCTGGACCACAGCAGCAAGTGTCCTGCCTGTTCATTGCCCTGTACGTCAACCTGACCAGGGACCAACAAAAAACCAATAACTTATGCATGGATTAGATGCGCTTAGCGTAAGTTGGATAGCGAGGACTAAGGTTGAGGTGTTCAAATTTCTGTATAGCCTGTAAAGCACTACGGAGTCGTGAGACCACCACAAATGATGACACAGGCCATAGATGCAATACAATAAGTGCAGCAAGAATGGCATTCAACCTTCCAGCAGTAATAGAAACTAGCCTAGACATAAATGAGCCCCCATCAGCGACCAGTCTGGAAACACTGCTGTGAATCCTAATGCCATTCAGAAGACTTAGAGCAACTGTGGCACTGCAATGGCATGTGAATGATGTGGAAGTGGTCAAGAAAAAAGAAAGCGGGAAAGCTACCGTAGACAGTTGGTCTTTCGAGCAAGGAGTGGAGAATTAGATCAGACTCGAACAGCTGGAACTTCCCAGGGGGTAGGTGGGGGGGGGGGGGGGGGGGGGGGGGGGGGGTAGTGTGATGCTACATGAACATAGAAAGGTGGTAATTAGATGAAGACAATAGCAAATTAGGAGAAGGGTAGAAAAGACTGAGCAACCAGTGGCGGGCGGCGAGCAAATAAGAATGTCTACTAATATCGGCTGACCATTCTATAAAAGGAAGGATTGCAGAGATCATGAGAGCGCACATAGTTAGTGACAGCCATGGCATCACGGCGTATTGGACAGGATGGAACTTTGCTTCTGCAAGAGGCTCCTCAACAGGGGACAGAGCGATAAGCACCAAAGCATAAATGTAATCCTTTGAGGAGATGAATGGGGTTAAGGCTAGAGAGCGTAGCAGGAGAGGCCACTGAATAGATTCTGGACACCATAATCAAAGTTTCGATAAAACAAAAAATTTTAATTGTTGAGGGCGGAATGCAGGCGAAGGAGAGTTCGAACGGTCAGCTCCCACATGAAAGATGAGCAAGGTTTTAAGAAAGGGTTCAGCCGGCTGTGACACGTTGCCTTCAGAGAGGAATGTGGGTTACCAGATCAACCGTACAGTCAAAGAGAAGGCCCTAGACACTCTGATTGTAATCACGTCAGATACGTAAGCCATAGAGGACAAAGGATGATCGCCAGACAGATGCACAGAGAGTCTAGTGAAAGTAATTTGGCAAGTTGGTACTGGAAAATTTAAACATACGTTGGTGCCCACTTAAACATGTCGAAGCCGCATGCTGGAGAGAACTTAAGAGGTTACCAGCCAGTTGCTGCTACATTCAGTAGTGGAAGTCATCTACATGAGAAGTGATGGCCCAAAGCATAGGATGGAAGAACAGAGGCCAAATCATATATATCAAGGAGGAAAAGTGTTTGTGCTCATACACGATCCCGAGGGACACCCTCAGGCATGGACAAAGTCCGGGAGAGCACATTAATTGTACCAAACACAAAATGTCTGTCATTAAAAACTCTCTTAAGGAAAAGATTGCAGGCCTAAGGAGTGGGCTTGGGCAAATATTATTATCTCCAACCTGTGGACATAATGCCTTCTCAAAGTTCAAAAAAATATGGCAATATCTGAGTGGATATTCACAAATGCATTACGAACAAACGTATCCAAACGTATGTAAGGGTCTATGGTAGAACGGCCCCTTACGAAAGCCATAATGAATGTTTGGAGAAACTGTTTGCATGTCTATAAATACACACTGGTAAGAGCAATGGGACGATAGTGGGAGGCTTTCAAGTCCTTAGTACCCGGTTTGCAGAAAGGGAGAACATGCAGATTTCCACAGCCTGAGAGAGAATATCCCTGTGACCAAATAAGATTTGGAAAAAGCCTAATAAGAATGCAGAGCATGACTGATTGAAAATGTTGAACATACGAATATCAGAATGACTGTCAGGGCGCCCACTGCCGATGATCTGGCAAGCTGAGAGTATTGCTTCCCCCTCCAGTTCCTGAAGTGTAAAAGGGCCCATTGGTACTGTTCTTCCCGGAGAGAAGAAAAAGTCCAAGGGCTGACTAACTCTCTGCGCAGACTTTGAGGAAAGAAACTAGGTGCATAGATGGAGCCCCTGAGAAATACGGACCAGCATGAATGCCATTTCATTGGCAACATCTAGTGGGTATGCTAAGTATCAACAACCGACAGCCTGCAGAACAAGAGCCGGTCACGAGAAAATTTTACCACACAGTTTCATACTAATATTCCAGACTGCACACATAGACGAAGCAGTAGGTGATGGTGAGAACAATCTCACCAGCAAGTGCGTTTTAGTGTCACTGGAGCACACGGTGAGTGCGAACGCAGAGAGAACCTCTGCTTAAAATCCAAGAAGTCTCTATTGTACCGGGTACCGCCCAAACAGCGCGATTCAAACATACTGCACGAGCACAACAGGAGACCACCATGGCACGCATTTCTGAAATGCCTGCAGACGAAGTTTTGGGGTATAGAATGAAGCTGCGGTTAAAACTAAAATTGGAGGACGAGAGGAGAGGTAAAATAACGGAAAGGAAAGGCACAATAACCGTGACTGCATGATTACACAAATAACCGCACATAAAAGGACAATTCAAAGAGCTACGACACGTTTCGGTCCGACTTGGACCATGTGACAAAGCCACAGTGTGACTTTGTCAAATGGTCCAGTCGGACCGAAACCGTCGTCGTAAGCTCTGTCCCTTATGTGCCGGTATTAGTTGTGTAGAGGTGTCAAAAGCTCATCATGGAGGACGAAGAAGGAACCTCACTAAAACAGTTATTGTGAGTAAATGTTCCAATTAAGCCTGATCAAATTGGCCAGTGTTGGTTACGAAGAGGTGAGAATGTGAAGGGAAAGTAAGAAGGCTAGGAAATGAATCGCTGTCATGTAAATCCTGGACAACAGACCAGGTGAAGCTAATGCGGCGGAGGAAGAAAGACTGAGAGAACGAAGCAAGTAGCATGATAAATGAGTCCGAGGATCCAAATGGTGTGCGTACCTGTATATAAAAAACATGAGGGGTGTAGCAAGAAAAGCCTCTGAACTGAATGCCACGGGAATCACATTGAGACCCCACCCAGAGGAAATTGATGGGCACTAAAATCGCAAGTAACAGAGTGGTGGCGGAAAAAGGCGAAACAAGAACAGGCAATATCTGGGGATAGAATAATGCCCTAGAAGGAGAGAGAATACAAAGAACAGAGTGTAATAACCACCTATGCAAGTGGATACCGGCTGCTGGTGGTAATGCAGCCACAGTACAACAAATAGCTGATGGATGGAATATTCAGAGCTTAAAGAAGGGCACTTACATTAAAGGACCCAACAGGAAAAGGATCTAAAGAATATAATAAATAATAGCCTGAGATAGGATGATAAAGGCAGAAGTGTAATTTGGTTCCTGTAAGCAAACACCAACAGGGGAAAACTGGAGACGCAACACTGAAGCTCACCCCGATATCCCTGAGGTCCCTCGAATTATTCCCACTGTAATGTATGCCATGATTGGCAACGAAAAAGATACCTGAAATCCGTCAGGTATGGTACCTGTGAACAAATGGTTAGAAAAGACCACATACGGTGGGAAAGGAAAAACGTTCAAGTAGTGAAGGAACAGTGCAATTTGTGCAGAAAGGAGTTTGCGCAGATGGAGAAGAGAAAGAGAACGAAACAGCGGCTGGATCAGTGTCCATTGATGGTTTGGTCTCGCAATAAAAATTCAGAGATAGCTTCAAGTGTTTCCGAGATCAGAGACGACGTATTGGAACAATATTGAGATGGATAAGGAGGAGTTTAAGTAAAGATCGTAGCTTTAAAGACAGAACGCAAGGTAGGGGGGGTGAAAGGTGTGGAGCGCGGAAACTGGAGAAGTGTGGGAGGGGGCAAGAAGAGGCCAGAAACCTGGAAGTGAGCAGAAGAGGAAAAAACGAGGGAGGGGGACAGAGGAGGAAGGCACAGTAATGGAGGAGCGAGGATGAACCTCCACACCTGAAACAGTAACCAGTGAAAGGGGAAGACTCCAGGTACAGATACTGGAAGGTAAAATGTGGAGGTATATGAAGAAAGGAGGGATTAAAGAAGACATTTTGGGCCTATTAGAAGTAGAGGGACGACTGGGAGGAGGTGTCGTACGAGGTCTTGTCGATACCGAGAATAGACCTTTTCGAGTCGAGGGAGGACACGAAGAAGTGATGATAGACTTAGGAGTGAAGCAGGGAACGTCTGAGCCCAGACAGCGAAAGAATAGATACATGAGTGACTATGGTACTGGCAACTGCAGAGGAGGGCTGCAGCAGATGTGAACCGGCCCAGAAGCATGGGGAGCTTTATTTGGGGGGGAAAACACGAGAATAAGAAACAACTGGGCAGTCCACCTTGGAGGCAGAGATGAGAAACCGCCATAGTAAAAAGGGAGACCTCGCTCTTTGAGGCCAACGAATTTCCCGCTCATTTAAGTAAACTTGCAACGCCGAGAGGACGAAGGTGACGCCTCATGACAATTGAGGGAAGAGGGAGATTCGACTGGCAAGACGTACTAGGAATGGTCATCGCACCAAAGACTGGCATGTTCGGCTAATAATCAGCACTATTTTGCTGGGTGGCTCAAATCGCCACAATTCCTACACTGTTGCGTGTAGGGATCACCCCGAACTTTGTAACCGATGTCCAGCTACATAAACCATAGGAGGGGAGTTCTACACAGGCTGTCAAAAGTTAAACCAGCCACCTATGCAAGGGTATCGTCTTTGCCAGCGGGCAGGATAATCATAAGTTTCTACCTTGAGAATTGGAGATCTTGGAGTATCAGCATTTGAGAAAGTTAAGTTGCCACATGTCTGGAAATTCTGTAGGACTATGGTATGGGCAGAATAACGTACCACTTACAAGAACTGAAGAATGGAATTTTTTCGGATAGTGATAGGATAGTATCGACATGTGAAAGAAGAGAAAGAACAAGGAGCTTGGGTAGAATTCTGGACTTGTGATGGATGCGCATATCACTCTTAAAATCAGAAAGGAAATATCTCTAACCAACTTGGCTAAGGAACACTTTGCCAAACTCTATATGGTTTGAGAAAGATAGGCAGCGAGCAGAAAGTCCAACTTAATGAAAAAATTTTAGTCCATTGTGTGGTCAAACTGAGTTGTGGAGAGGGAGTGCAACGACGGGACAGTCTTTTCCTGAGTAATGGGAAGGTAAAGAAGTAAAAATGCATCAGAAGATTGTCGTTGACATTTAGAGTGGACCAGAGTAGGTCCGACGTGGGACGGCTGGGCAGATTCAAAAATCGCTCACCGTAAGGGAGAAGCCGGAAGCATAGTCAAAGGGAGAGCGGAGGTCAGACAAATCGAGGATCAGTGCAGCCCCGTACCTGAAGCGTGGGTGAGTGAACAGCACCATCAAGATGTCCAGGGAGCCTTAAGGGAAAAGTCCGAAAGTGGCCAAAAGACAAGGCGAGGTCAGAACAGGCAACGTAACAATATAGGGGCCCGGGGGTAGTGGGGTCATGGATCGGTACTTCCCATGCGATCCGAGGGTTACTTCTTTCTTCTTGTTTTTAAGAAAAAAAAAAAGAAAGAAAAAAAAGAATCAAATAAAAAGGAGATAACCGGTGAGGTATAGTTCCTAGGAGGAATGAACAGGCCAGAAATCTCCCTTCCACCCCAAGAGGACCTTAGCACAGCAAGTAGCGCAGAGCAGCATGTAAACCTGTTCCAAACCTTACCCAACATGCCGGTAAACCAGCAATCCCGGGATTGCAACCTCAGCATCCTGCCAGCTACCTCGTGGAAACAAAAGAGAGGGTGCTGCCGGATATCCGCCACAAAGCATACCTCCTTCGGCCACCCGCAATCTCTCAAATCCAGAAATACAAAATGCACCCTATAAAATGAAACAAACACATTCAGAATGGGGTCACATAAACCAGAGTACCAAAAGCAAAAAGTTAACTCGTCAATCCTAACCCAGCCTGATAAGAAGGACAAAAAAGATTGTAATTATGAGAATAGATTATCCAACTTATGAGGTGGATAAAAAAAGACCTGGAAACCTATCAGAAATTCTAGGAACAAAAAAGATATCCAAAATGAGCAAAATTAAATTAAGCAAATATGATGAACCCCAACTCCCACGAATAGAAACAGTGCAAAACAGAACTCAATGATTCTTCTGCCCTATAGAACATATGCATCTTAGTCCAATAAATCCCAAGCTCAGATAACCCCCCCAAAGACAACCTTGACACCGCGCAACTACACCGAACGCCAACTGTTCCTTTCCTCAGCCTCCGACTACCCCATACGAAGTCTCCTTATAATCCACACCCTAAAAACAATGCTGAGATTTAAGTACCTTACCACCCTTTTATATACAAAAAAGATGTCACAATTGCTATCACCGATCATTGCAACACTCTTTAAACAAATACCATTGAATCCTCTACCTTCCCTACAGTCACAAAAATAGCAAGGGTCACCCCCAATCCATAAGGAGAGACCAAACAGAGTTGAATTAACTATAGAGCCAATATCCCAACTTACCCCTCCTCTCAAAAAACTTCAAAAAATAATTCATAAATGATCTACCTAGCCCCCCCCCCCCCCCCCTAACGTCATCTCCCAAAACATACTCAACACCCTGCCATTTTGGCTTCAGGCCTAATAAAAAATACGAATGATGCTATTATACACATGCTAGAACATATGTAGAACTGCAATACAGAGAAAAAAAAGAAGTCCCACTGGGGAACTTACATTGACTTACGTAAAGCTTTTGATACAGTTTGACCAAGACTTGCTCCACATAAATTGTCACACATGGTATAAGAGGCACTCCTCAACTACGTTAAGCATACCATAAGTCAACAAGAAGCCAATATGTTGTACACAAAATGGGCAAAACTCTTCCAACACAACCAAATACAGTAGGTGTCCTACAGGGAAGTGTCCCTTGCCCTCTTCTCTTTCTCCTATACATAAATGACTTAAATGAACCTACCAAATGCTTCGCAATTAACTCAAACCCACACTATTGCAGATGACACTAACATACGTCTTCTCTCACTGACCCGAGCCCAATCATGCAAGCCCAATCCCTGTTAAATACCGGAATTAACATAAAATATCTACCTGGATGAGACTAACCAAGCTTACACTAAACATTGACAAAACCTACTTCATTCAGTTGATGTCTAACAGAGCTACTGATGTCCCGATCTAACAGTAATGATAAACGGATCACCTACTCACAAAGCTCAACACAACTAGGGAAAAAATCTTAGGAATGCACTTGATCATAAACGTACA